CTTACTTTGGGGTGTGGTGCTGTGGGTTAATGCGCCACACTGCTAAGCTGTTGGAGCTGCAAGACTCACCAGCTGCTCCTAGGAAACCCTATACAGGGTCACTATGGGTCGGAACTGACTTGACAGCACTTAACAACTGTCGGATGAGCACTAGACTGCTCACCGAAGGTTGGTCAAACCCATCAGCTGCTTCTCAGAAACCCTATACAGGCTCACTATGAGTTGGAATCGACTTGAAGACACTTCATTAACAACAGCATACTATTTATTATGCAAGGCACTCTTGTGGTGTAATGAGTTACTCATTGAACTGTTAACTAACTACAAGGCTGGCAGTCTGAAACTTAGCAGTTGCTCCACAGGAGAAAGAGGAGGCTGTCTGCTCCCTTAAAGATTTAGTCCCCAGATCCTGTGGAGAAGGTGTAGTCCATCTTACAGGGTTGCTGTGAGTCAGCGGCAGTGGCTTTGGTTTACTTTTGTATATACCATTGTATACCCTTCTTTGTTGTTGTTGTTAGGTGCCATCGAGTCAGTACTGACTCAGAGGGACCCTATGTATAAACAGAGCAAAACACTGCCCAGTCCTGGGCCAACCTCACAATTGTTGCCATGCTGGAGTTCATTGATGCTGGCACTTGGTCAGTCCACCTCGCTAGAGCTCTTCCTCTTTTTCTTTGACCCTTCACCTTACCAAACATGATATCCTTCTCCAGCAACTGGTCCCTCCTGACAACATGTCTGAAGTATGAGAGATGAAATTTAGCCATCCTGGCCTCCAAGAAACACCCTGGATACAATTCTTCCAGCACAGATCTGTTGGTTCTTTTGGCAGCCCATGGCACTTTCAGTATTCTCCTCCAACACCACAATTCAAGTGCATCAATTCTGCCGTCTTCCTTATTCACTATCCAGCTTTCGCATGTATATGAGGTTATTGAAAATACCATGGCTTGGGTGAGATGCACCTTGGTCCTCAAGCTGACATCTTTGCTCTTCAACACTTTCAAAAGGTCTTGTGCAGCAGATTTGCCTAATGCAATACGTCCTTTGATTTCTTGCATCCTGCTTCCGTGAGTGTTATGGTTACCAATAGTAGAGAAACACCCTTCTAGGGGTCACTATTTATACATGTAATCGTGTAATCATTGTAAGCTCGACTACTATACTAGTTCTTCAGAACAAGGTATCCTTTTCTAATTTGCACAAATTTTAACTTACATTTAGGCCAGTGTCTTTTTTTAACCCTTGTTTTTTTGTTCTCTAAAATATCAATATTGTTTTCCTCTGGACTGCAGCCTTCTCTTCTCTTCTTTTTCTCTCTGTTTTTCAAATATTTCAAACTAAATTTTTCAAAGTCCCATGCAAGACCACTGGTGTGAAAAGGTTTCCATGTTAAAGAACCATTCTATGGTGGTTACCAGGCCTGGGAGGGAAGGGGACTTGCTCACTGGCTATAGGAGGTAGACACATGTTAACTTGGGTGGCAAGGGACGTAAGATACAATGAGAAGAGGCTGGCAGAAGAAACCTCCTGGTGGGGAGGACACCGGGAGGAGGGCAAGAGCTAAAGGGAATCAAGGTGAATACTGTGAACTGATGGAACATGGAGGGAATTGTAATCATTGAGATCAAATGAAGTCTATATGTTTTGTTGAATGTAAAATGGATGGTCTACTCTGTAAACCTTCATTCGATTCACAATCAAAAGTTTTAAAGGAAAAGAACTCCAAGCCAAGCATCGTAGAATAGGAAACAAGGAGGTGGTGACCAGTTTGATTCCAGGTTTTGAAGAGTGCCCAACAGGTGTGCACATTCCTTTACTATGTGATTGCAGTTGTTTAAGTGGAACAAGACCATCATTTCTTCTTTCAGAATCCCATATACCCTTGGCTCGGATGCACTCACTGGTGTCTGATGGCCATGTTTGCCACGTGTCTTTCCCTCTCCACCCTTGCCATAGCGTCAGTGTGTCCCACTTGACCTGCCCCAGTGGGCTTCCCAGTCTTTATGGGGGCAGATCCCCAGTGATTTCAAACTGTGGTGTTTCTGTTAGTAGTCATGTGCTTAACCACTGCACCACCAGGGCTCTCCCCGCCCCTGTTGTGTGCCTTTGAGTCAGTTCTGACTCATCCCCACTCAGCATGGTAGCCGACAGAAGCAGAAAGTCTCATCTTTCTTAGCACAGAGTGCTGGTGGCTGTGAACTGCGAACCTTGCAGTTAGTAGTCCAGTGTGTAACCATGGTGCCACCAGTATAAAGAGTGTTTATCAATTATGTATTCCATATTCAATGATGTTCTTTTTAGTTATTTCTACCCCCCTTACCCAGGGTCAGAAGGAGCCCAAAAGTTTGGTGGTTCGAGTCTATCAGCTACTCCACAGAAGAATGATGTGACAGTCTGCTTCTTCTAAGATTACAGTCTTGGAAACCCTGTGGGTTAGTTCTGCCCTGTCCTGTAAGGTTGTTGTGAGACAGAATCTGTTTACCACAGTTGCTTAGGGTTTTGGTGCCCAGGGTCCAGTGTAGGAGCATACTAAGTTGCCATGTCTCCTTACTTTTCTCAGCCCTTCAGTGACTCACGCCACTGCTGTTTTTGAAGAACATAGGGCAGTTGTTTATAGACTATCTGAATTGAGCTTTGTGTGGAGTTTTCTTATGATTGTTGTTGTTAGGTGCCATCGAGTTGGTACTAACTCATAACAACCCTGTGCACAACAGAATGAGACACTGCCTGGTCCTGCGCCAACCTCACAATTGTTGCTACGTTAGAGCCCATTGCTGCTGCCATTGTGCCAGTCCATCTCATTTAGGGTCTTCTTTTTCACTGACCCTGCATCTTACCAAACATGATATCCTTCTCCAGCAACTGGTCCCTCCTGATGACTATATGTCCAAAGTATGAGAGGCGAAGTCTGGTCATCCTGGCTTCCAGGGAGCATTCTGGCTGTACTTCTTCCAACACAGATTTGTTAGTTCTCTACGGCACTTTCAATATTCCCCTCCAACAACATAGCTCAGATGCATCAATTCTTCTACAGTCTTCCTTATTGACTGTCCAGCTTTCACATGCATATGAGGTGATTGAAAATACCATGGCTTGGGTCAGGCACACCTTAGTCCTCAAGCTGACATCTTTGCTCTTCAACACTTTAAAGAGGTCCTTCTGTAGCAGATTTGCCTAATGCCAATACGTCGTTTGATTTCTTGACCACTGCTTCCATGATTGTTGATGGTTGATCTAAGCAAAATGAAGTTTTTGACAGTTTCAACCTTGTCTCTATTTATTTGGATGTTGTTTATTGGTCCAGTGGTGAGGATTTTTGCTTTCTTTACATTGAGGTGCAACCCATAACAAAGGCTGTGGTCTTTGATCTTCATCAGTAACTCCTCTTCACTTTCAGCAAGCAAAGTTGTATCGTCTATGTATCGCAGGTTGTTAATGAGTCTTCCTCCATTTCTGATGCCACCTTTTTCTTCATACAAGCCAGCTTCTTGGATTATTTGCTCAGCATATAGATTGAATAAATGTGATGAAATAATACAACTCTGGCACAAACCTTTCCTAATTTTAAACCGTTCGGTGTTCTCTGTTCTGGTCAAACAGCTGCCTCGTGGTCTATGTATAGGTTCCCCCTGAGCCTAATTAAGTGGTCAGGAATATTCATTCTCCCCAGTGCTGTCCATACTTTGTCATGTTGCACACAATCGAAAGCCTGTGCAACCCAAACGCAGCTGACTTCAGTAGTGATATCCCTCATTCTACATCGTCTTCTGAATTTGTCTTGAACCTCTGGAAGTTCTGTGTCAGATTCAGCTTGTATGCTCTTGGCAGGAATGCTATAAAAGTCATGACATTAGTTTGCCCCATTACTGGTGATGTTCAGCCTCTAAGCATCACTGTTGAAACTGGTCATGTTGTCTTAGTCATGTGAACGCTGCTTTATGTGTACGTGGTACAGGTCTAGGAATGTTGTTTAGTGTCGATTCTTAAGTTCCCAGTGCTCCCTCATCCTGACCTCAGCTGCAGCCAGGTACACCCAAGTTGCTTCTCCATTTTCTCTCTTCTCCATGGCATTGCTGTCTTGGATGCTTGTAACACCTTTTCCTTTTCTTAGTAAGTCACTTTCCCCAGCCGACATCTCGGAACCAGTGATTATTTCATTTAGATAAACAGCAGGTCTGTAATGTCAGGATCCAGCAAGTTAGGCTTCAGAGAAGGAGAGTTTTCTAGTCAAATGTGGGAAAGAACTGGATGTCATGGAGTTGACTTGCGGTTCACACTGGCCTGAGGTCTAGTGCATATGCCCCGGCACCACACCACGACTCTGACACTGGGCTTGGTCCATGGTTTTTCACTTTTGTCTATGCTGTCCCTAATATACACATTTCAAGTTAACAGTGCTTTTATATTCTGTGATTCCCACTGACTTATAGGTTGTTAGGTGCCGTTGAGTTGATTCCAACTCAGCCACCCAGTACAGGGTTTCCAAGGTTTTGTATCTTGCAGGGAGTAGAAAGCCTCATCTTTCTCCCACGGAGTGGTTAGTGGGCTCGAACTGCAGACTTTGTTGTTCCCAGTCCATTGCTTATTGTATGGAGCCACCACCCTCCCAATTTATATGTATAATTTCTTTAATCTTACCAACGGTTATCAAGATTTTGATATACTTAACCTTGTCATCCGTTCTGCCATGATGTTTGAAGTATATGACACTTTGCATTAGGATACTTGACTAAGCATCTCTCAAAAAATAAGCTCACAAGTTTTTAGAACCCTGTCCTGAAAGCTGATTTATGCAGCAGGGGAACCTTTTGCAGTATGAATCGTCACCCAACATAATTTGATTTTCACTTATCAGGTGCTTGACAAGTGGGGTACACCTGTAATTGTGTGCTAGCGTAATGTAAGACACAGCCAGGGTGCAGTCCTGGCCTTGCAGCTCATGTGTGTTCTTGTAACTTAATAATTTATGTCCCCCCTGTGTTTTTTTTTTTTGGTAGTGCACGATCTGATTTTCTGGAGAGATGTGAAGAAAACCGGGGTTGTCTTCGGCAGCACACTAATTGTGCTGCTCTCCCTGGCAGCCTTCAGTGTCATCAGTGTGCTTTCGTACCTCATCTTGGCCCTTCTGTCTGTCACCATCAGCTTCAGGGTCTACAAGTCTGTCATTCAAGCTGTACAGAAGTCAGAAGAAGGCCACCCATTCAAGTGAGTTCAGGCGTCACAGCCAACCTTCTGCATTTCAGTAAAGGCCTAATTGGGGCTGATCAGATTCCGGACCTGCCTAAACGCAATCATCTTAGGGCCTAATGCAGCTGACCAAGGGTGCAGACCATCAGCTGGAGACCCCGAGATTACCTTAGGAAGTGACCAGCTTACAAGCCAAGAACCTTTTGACAAAAGTCGAGATTCACGTCAAGACCAAACAAGACTGAACTCCTGAACAGGGAGGGAAAGGACGGCGTCGGAGTCAGCCACTTAGTGCAGTAGGGTCCCGAGTGCAGGTGTAAACTCCCAGGGGCTGCGTGGGAGAATTCCTTTCCAGACCTGAAGGGTGGTTGAGGGCCACAGTCTCGGGTCCCTCCAGTCACTTTCTGACCAGTAAGTTTTGGTCTACATTTTCTCCCACTCTGCCCGGGACCTCTGAATGTGCAGGATGGCTCCTGATGAACTGTATAGGTCACGGATTGTCCAGAATCCAACTGTTAGCTCTCTTTTAAAGTGTTGTAACTGTAACAAGTGTTTGCCCTCACCATTTGTTGTTGCTGTTTATCGTTAAAGTGCCATCTAGTTGGTTCCAACCCATAGTGATTCTGTATAGGGTTTCCTAGGAGCAGCTGGTGAACTTGAACCACCAACCTTGCAGTTCAAACCAACTGTGCAGTTCAGCATATTAACCCACAGTGCCACACCATAGTCTTCTGAAAAATTTTGGCTCATAAAGCATTTTTATTTTAACACTAGCAAATGACAGTTTATAAAAACCTTTCTGTTGTGACATGTCAGGTCTGCAGGAGAATAAGACTCTCCAATTAGCTGCAGCTCTGAACCTTGTATTTTCTTGTGGCAACAATTGTTGTTAGTGCCATTCAGTCATATTCAACTCATAGTAACCCTGTATAGGCCTTCCAAGGCTGTAACTCTTTGAGGCAGCAAAAAGCCTCATCTTTCTCCCGCAGAGTGGCAGATGGGCCCCATCTGCTGCCTCATTTATGGTTCTCAGTCCAGTGTTTATCATATGGAGCCATCACATCACGCTCCTTGGTGACAATAGAAGGAATAATTTAAATCTATATTGTGATACTAAAAATGTATTGCAAACTGAGCAGAATTTCAAATTCTCACGTACTCTAGACTTTCTGGATCCCTGGGGGCTGGTTGAACCCCTGAACAATAGCCCTGAGATGGACTCTAAACCTTCAGCCAAAAATATTCCCTAAAGTTTTCTTAAAACCAAACAATAGTTTTGCTTAACAAGTGAAAAAAAGTCTACGTTGATTGATCAGCATTGTTGTTAAGTGCCATCGAGTCAGTTCCAACTCAAAGCGATCCTGAATAGGGTTTCTGAGGAATGGCTGGGAAATCCTATTCAGGGTTCCTATGAGTAGGAACCGACTCGATGGCACTTAACAACAATACTCAATCCAAAAAAAAAAAGTCTGTCTGGATTGAGCATTGTTGTTGTCAACTGCGGTCGAGTCAGTTCCAACCCATAGCTACCCCGTATAGGATATCTGGGAAGCAGCTGGTGAGCTTGAACTGCCGACCTTGTGGTTCAGACCAACTTTGCAGTCCAGTACATTGACCCTCAGGGCCCATTAAAAACTATAAAGGATCAAATTGACAACCGCAGCTCAGAAGATTAAGTAGGAACTTCAGGGAACAGTGAGCTTATGTTGATGGGTGAAGATCAACGCAGACACAGAGGGTGAAAACAGCTGCACAGCTTGAAAAGTAAGATCTTAATGGATTTTATATTTAATGTTAAATATTTTAATAAGTAGAAACAAAAGCATGCTTAATTAGTTTTCAGTTTCCCCGACAGATCGTAGATGTGTCGGGCCCTCTACTCTTGAAAGACCAAGCTTTTTGTTGAAATCGGTTATTTTCAGTAATGGAAGAAGACTTTTTAAGCGCAATGAACTTTTTGGAGTAATGCAGATTTTGATAACGATATTTGGCGTATCTATGCCCCGTGGTACCTCTGAAATTTGGAGGGAGTGGGATGGGCTGACACCCATTTTTCCAGATGTTCATAGTTACACAGTCCCTCAGCGTGGAATAGGCACTTAAAGTGGGATAGCACCTTCCCACTAAACCTCAGGAGAGGAAAATTCAAGCTCTGAACTGCTGCTCACCAGCAGTTCCTCAGAAACCCTTAACAGGGCCGCTGTGAGTTGGAAGGTAATTAGCCCTCACTTAACAACAATATATGTCCCACAGGTTGCAAAAGTGCTGCAGCTAAAGCAGTCTGACCTTTCCCAGCACCTAGCGAGCGGAGTGTCTGGAACACCTTAGGGTCTCAGGAAGCACTGAGTGAATGACCATACTGTGAGGCCGTACTTAGACGTCACCGCGACAGTGTGTCTGGGAACAGAACCAAGTTTTTCTCTTTGGTGGACGACTCCGTAGTTTTCAGTTCTTACAAACTCAGTGTCCCCCATCCTCCTTTTTACCTTTTTTTTTTTTAAACTTTTTATTGTAAATTGAGTGAAGGCTTACCGCGCAGCTCATCAGCTTTACATTCAACAAATCGTACACTTTGCTTCTTTATTCTGTACATGATTGCAATCCTTTCCTCGTACCAACAGTTAACAGAATTTACCTCTATTCACTTTAACTATTGCATTTCTCCATCTGTCTCTTGATACCATGTTAATTTGTTTACCCTTAGCCCATGAATAATTTTCAATTTTCCCTCCATCCCCCTCCCCATAACCATCATAGATCGTTTCTTTTTATCAAGAAAACCTTTTTATTAGCTTTTTCATAGCACTGGTCTCACAACAATATACACTGTTTTTCCTTTTGTGATTGGCTAACTTAACTCAGCATAATGTGCTCGAGGCTCAACCACATTGTGAGGTCTTTTACAAATCATTTGTCATTATTTTTGTAGTATACCATTGTGTGCCTGGATCAAAGTTTGTTTAACCATTCTATGGTTGATGGGGATTTAGGCTGACTCCATCTTTTTGATAATGTCTCTTGTAGACAGAATATTGAAGGATCCTGTTTTCTTATCCATTCTGCTTTTGATGTCTCTTGACTGGTATATTGAATCCATTTACATTCAGTGTAATTATCAGTAGATCGGAATTGATGGCGTTTTTCTGTGTTGCTGGATTCTTTGTTCCACATAATTTTCATTGCTGAGTTCGTTTTGTTTGTGATTTTTCTTACCATTTTCACTTCTGTTATGTTAATGTTTACTAAATCTTTGTGATTTTCCTCTTTGAGGTTATCCTGTAATTTGTTAATTTTCTCCCGGCTTAAGACAGTCTGTTTTATCTTGAGATCTACTTAACTTCCTTGTCACTTGGAAGTTCTGTATCTACACTAGTCCCTCTTTTTGCTTTGTAGCTGACTTCATTATACGTTGATACCTCTGGTTCCCTATTTTCATTTACTTTAAATGTTTGGATTGAGTTCTGGCCATGTTGTGTGGTCATCTCAGGTTGTTGTCTGCTGTTGTTGGTTCTCAATCCAAAGAACACCCTTTAGCATTTTTTGTAAAGTTGATCTATCTGGTCATTACAAATTCCTTTAATTTTTATCTGGAAATGTCCTAATTTCACTGTCATATTTGAAGGACAGCTTTGCTGGATGTATGATTCTTTAGAGTTTTTCATTCTTTCTCTGTTCTTCTAGCATGCTAGTATTGAGAGATTACTCTTCAAGCCCACTAATTCAGGCTCCCATTGCTTCACATCTGCCCCTGTGTTCTCCTTACCTTCCTCTGTCTTTCTATCAGTCCTTTGAAGGTACCTAACTATCATTCTTTTTAATTATTTTTCAATTAATTCTGTTACCTTTTCTTCCTCAGAAACTGCTTTTGATTCTGCATCTGAATCATTCTCTCTTGTTTTTTTGTGTGAGCTAAAATTGTCTGTTGTCTGTGGAGCATAGTGGGGTGGCTGTTTTTGTAAAAACAAACAGTACAGTTGAGACCTAGAGAGGAAAAATTGAACCTGTAATTCAAGGAGCTCTCAAGATGGTTGAGAAGGGTGTGACTGCAGAGCCCCTGGCCCTAGGTGATGCTCTTCTTCACCCCTGTGTTACCTGTGTTCAGGGCACTCAATCAGAAGTAGTTTGTGGGAACCCCAGTGAAGCTGATTTCAGTGTTAGGGACACAGGGAAGCTGGGGGCAGGGTGACTGATTAAATGTTTGTCTGGTGGCTCTGTGGCTTTTGTAGGTCCAGGAACCAAAGCGGCACACCAAAACAGCACATCTGGCTCCCATTCACACTGACGTGGTTCCCAACCATGTGGCTCTAAACAGCCGGAGAGCAGGGTCTGTACTGGGGGTGGATGAGAGTGGGACCTGGTCACACCTCTGGTCACAAGGGGAACTTGGGGAAAAAGAAGAAATCACACCTTTCTTATCGCTCTTGCAAATCTGCTCTGTGAGGCCTACTTCTACTGCCCAAGCTGCTCACAGATGGGCGGGCTGCATCAGGCCAGTCCGTCCATCACCAGTCAGTCTCCCTCTCTCTCTGTCCCTGCTCGGTCCCTCCTCCCAACAAGCACTCCATCCACTGCTCTAAGCTTTCTTCTCAAGTTCAGGGTGCCAGAAGTTTCATCTTGTCTGTTTTATGTGGTCATGCATTATCTTTGTTGTGGAGAGTACATGAAGTGTGTCGGCCTAGTCTGCCATCTTGCCAGAAATCCCTCCATCTTCCCTTTTTACTTTTTTAACAAATAATCATACTTCTTTTAATATTCTGAAATGAAATTCATAGCTAATCTGTTTATAGACAAAAATTTTAAATACTCTTAGTTATAAAGGAAGATAAAATAGAAGATGATTTATGATTTTTTTATTTCCATCATTGTTTAATTGACTTGACTATATCAAAATACATCATATATAATACACACACAAAAGGACAAATATTGTATGAAATTACTATTGTAAAAAGTCAAGAAAAGGTTGCCATACTAAAAGAAACATTCTTTGATGGTTACTAGGGGTAGGAAGGAAGAGAGAGTCATGGATAAAAAAACGAAATCACATGCAGCTACATGTATGAGCCCCAATTTCAAAATGGTGAAAAAAAATCTTTATTATATTAAAGTCTAAGCATAAACAACAGTATATACTTTTAGAAATTTCAGGCTATGCTAAAACTGGGTATAAAATCCCTTGTGTTTATGTGTTCCAGACTTTTGATAATTATAGATAGGCTTTCACTCTTAGGACTGTCCAGTGGAGCAAAAGAAATGATGCCAGGCATAGGACAGTCCTTTACTGGGCAGGACTCTCCACATTTTACAGATATCTTTGCTTCTGTTTACTAAATGACAGTGGTTTGTCTACCCCACCTCATGACAACCAGAAAGGCTCCTACAGATTCCTAAGTTGCCCCTAGGGTCAGTTTCCCACGTGCTATAGTTAACTGCTCTGCTACTCCTTCCAAGAAGTCTTCTCTGAAGTCAAATGCCTGACTGTCATTCCTTCTTCCAAAGAGCCTACCTGGATGTGGACATGACCCTGTCCTCGGAAGCTTTCCATAACTATGTGAATGCTGCTATGGTGCACGTCAACAAGGCCCTGAAACTCATTATCCGTCTCTTCCTGGTGGATGATCTGGTGGACTCCTTGAAGGTTTGTTACTTCTGTTACTCTGGGTGGTAAGGCTGGAAAAACGTGCAACTGGGTTACCTTTCTGAGGAAGAGCAGCCAGTAGGTTGGTTTCACAAATCACAGTGTTGACACCTGTCACAATCCATCTGTAAAAGTGGGACGAGGAGCCAGGAGAGACGGCATCTCCTCATCCTGGAGCAGTGAGGCTGTGGCTGACGGAGTGGCCTTGCGGGGCCTCTCTTACGTTACCTCAGCTGTGTAATGCTAGTAGGGGACCTTCGTTTGGAACTTTACTAATGGTAGACATCACTAGATAAGCACAGATTTCAGTGCATCAGGTAGTCTGAATTGTGCGTTAGTCCTACATAACCATTCTGACCTTGACCTTCACAGCTGGCTGTATTCATGTGGCTGATGACCTATGTTGGTGCAGTGTTTAATGGGATCACCCTTTTGATTTTAGGTAAGGAGACAAAGAACATTTTTCTATACTTGTAAAATAATTGGTCAGAGTAGGAGTTAAGAGAATGGCTCCACTTAGTCCACAGGCCCCTGCCTCTCGTAACACTGGAGAGACTTTAAACTCGATCTGGAGGAGCCTCTGTGTGTGTTCCTGCTCACTGAGTGCTCCCAGCTGTGAGGAGATGGGAGTCCCTAGGTGATGCAGGCAGCTGCCACTCTCAGCTGCTAACTCGAGGTTGAAGGTAGGAGTCTAACCGGAAGGCCAGCCATTGAGAACGCCGTAGCAGGCAGTTCTACTCTGACACATCTGGGGAATTGACTCGGTGGCAGCTGGTTTTTTATAAAGAAACAAACAGCAAGAAGTAAAGGAAGAGTTGTCTAGATTTTATGTAATATACGGATTTTATTTCATACTTTGGAAATTGCTTGTGGTACAGAGAAGGCAGCTTGTGTGCCAGGGGAGGCATTCCATACCTCCTTAAACTAGCCTTCTTCACCTTGCTATTAAGTGCCGTGGAGGCAGTTCCAACTCATACTGACCCTTATACAGGGGTTCTGACGAGTGACTTCTGGGTTTGAACTGCCCATCTTTAAGTTAGAGTCCAGTGCTTATCCTACAGTGCTACACCTTAATTGAGAAGTCTAGCTGGGATTTCTCATTTTAAGGAAGATTGTTTCCCTCCATTTTATGAGGAAAAATGTGTTTGTCTTTTGTGACTACCTTGGATTTACACTTGTCATGTTTTGTGTTATAGCCGAACTGCTCATTTTCAGTGTTCCAATTGTCTATGAGAAGTACAAGGTAAGCATTTGTCTTCCTAATTTCAGTTCAGATTTGCCATAAAGATGACTAGCTAGTTCATGTTTTTAGGCATTAGAAGTTCCAAGCAGTCTTTTTTATAACCATCATTTATAAAATCTGATTATTTATTTATTTATTTATTTTAAGTTAGGTGCCTAGGAGAAACAGTGGTTTTTCCTACAAGGGGAGAAACTAGGTATCTGGGGAAGGAAGGAGGCCCCTTTTTCATAACTTGATGCCTTTTGAATTTTTATTATCTGTTTATATACTATAATCCACACATATAATGCACCCACACAAATAACCCACCCGGGGCACTGACTCCTGGGGAAAAGCATATGATGCAGATGTTATTTTCGTGAAATATAGTATTCAAAAAGTGAGCTTAAGATAACATAAATCAAACCTTCGTCTGAAATAGATGAGTTCATGCTAGAGCCCTTGAAAGGAAGCAAGCTGAGAGAGAAACTGTCCCCATGCCTTCTTCATGCGGACCTGCCCAGAGGAGCCCAAGCAGAAACACCCAGACCCTCCCATCGCTGAGTTCTCCAAAAAGTGTTCTGAGAGATGGAAGACCACGTCTACAAAGAAAAAGAAATGTGAAGATAAGGCCAGAAGTGGGAGATCTCACTAAGACAGGAAGTTAGGAAATGTCATGTCCTCCCTAAGGGGTCCCAGTGCCACCAGCAGCCTTCTGCTCTGAACATGGCCCACCCGCTTGGGATACTGCAGAGAGACTGGGTGCAACGTCATTTGATGAGTCAGCCCAAGATTAACAACCATATGAACAGAAAGCGTCCGAGCTAAGTGAGAACGCTGAAAAGGTTATTGTCACATAGCATGCCACCGAGAGCAAAAGGGAAGTCAGAACGGAAGGGTCCTGGGAGACCCAACAGGCTCAGCAGGAATGAGCCCGAAAATGAAGATGAGGAGGAAGATGAAGAGTATCTGATTATGTGCTCAGGCAGTTACTTCGCTAAGAATATAAATTCAAGTGCAGCTTAGGAGTAGCTTCAGTATGAAAACTGTAGATTTTTGTATAGCTAATAAGATTCTTCAGAGAGAAAACACTTTTTTTATTGCAAGATTTAGCTTTTTGAGGGGGCTAGTACAGAGAGTTCGGTTTTAAAGCTTCTGATGCTGACAGGCTCTAAATACTGAATGGAGTCGAGGTGTGGCGCTGCAGGAAAACGCATGGGACCAAAAGAGTCAGCGGTTTGAACTCACCCAGCCGCGCCTTGGAAACTCTGTACAGGGTCGCTATGAGTCAGAACTGACTCGATGGCACTTAACAACAAATACTGAGTGGTCTTAGTAGCTCAGGAAGCTGTTACTATTGAGGAACTAGTTTCATTCAATTTGGGAGTTTTTAGGATGGTGCTTATTTGTTATTTAAATTTTATAACAAAATTTTGTACATGAAACAAAACAATTGTGTCTGAAAAGAAACATAAAGAGCAGGCTACTAAGGGACTCCATCCGTGTTTGCATTGTGGGTGGTGTGGGGGCGAACACTAGATGCTGTGAAGTTCGTCAGCGGTTAAAATTGGACTCCATCAACAAACTTTATTCATGACTTTTTGGGGTTTGATGGTTTCATCTCAGCCAGGAGCCAGTCCACATTTGCGATTACAGAGTATAGGCTAGCACACACTTTCTAGTATTCAAAGCTGCTTGACTCCATGTCTGTGAGGAGCTCCTTAAGCAGGTCAGGTTTACATCTCACCAACAGATGAGTGATTTGTGTGTCAACAAAGTTGTGGGGCATTTAGGGCATCGTTTGAAGTCTGTAGTTTTTGCACATTTTTGAAAGTGGGCATTCTTTTTATTTTACAATATTCAATAGTGTTAGAAAATTGGTTAAACTTGACAAAAGACCTGTGTTTTCGGGGAAATTGTTAATCTTTGTGTAACCAGAACTGAGCCTCCTTTCCTTCCTTTAAGACCCAGATTGACCACTATGTGGCCATTGCTCGGGACCAGACCAAGTCAATTGTTGAGAAGTAAGTGTGTGATTTAGGAGCCACATTTTAGTGAACTTTAAATTTTAAAAAAAATTATTGATAGCAAATGTTTATGAACCTAATACTTAGAATGAAAATGTTGTAACATTTTCCATGTTTTTCTTCATATCATCTTTAAGAAACAAAATGTCACAAATTGTTGAGACCCACGCACCCACCCCCACCCCCACCCCCAGTTTTTTTCAACTCTCTTTACGCCCCAGACTCGCAGCTCGGACGGATGCCAGGAGCTTCACTGGCGCGTGCTCCTTTCTTACTTACACACATCGGTGGACACTGGAGCCTTAGCATAATTATACGGCTGACTTGGCAGAGATGAGCATAGCTTCACTTTAGAACCAATGCCATGGTTACAAGTGGTGTCCAAGCCTGGCCACCTGCTCTGGAGAATCGGTTTCGGTGTGTGAGTGACTGGAGTGAGGGAATCACTTCATGCTCTCAGAACTCCTTCTAGAATCAAGGGCAGAGCTGGTGTGCGGTGTGTAAGAACCAGGCACCCCTGACCCTTGACTCCTGGTGGCCTGGGCAGCATTAGTGGTGGCCAGGAGAGATGAGAAGCCACATCACTGTGCCCCTGATTGCCGGTGGGCAGGTCACAGTCAGTCAGCAGAGCTTATCCCCAGTGAAGACCCGAGAAAGTTCTGGCTGTGAAAGAAAGAGGTCAGGCAGCAGCATGGCAGTGCTGGGGTGGGGGTGGGGGGCTCTCAGCCCTGCTGCTTTTCTTCCAGGTATACTTGTGAAAACTGGAGACTGTTTTCCACAGCCCTGCAGCAAGTCAGGGATGACTTCTAGGATCACAGTGCAAACAGAAACGTAAAACAAATGCTTATGTCTTCACCTTCTGGTTTTTTCCTCAACAGGATCCAAGCAAAACTCCCTGGAATCGCCAAAAAGAAGGCCGACTAAGCACATGGCAGCCAGAACTGCACCACGTACTAAAACCCCATTTAATAGTTATAATAGCCTTGTTACCTGTCCTCGGAAGGAACGCGTTCCATGTCAGCTTGAGCCTGCATTCCAAGCTTATGTTTTCATTGGGTGATTGATTTCTCCTCTCCTTGCCCTGTATCCTCAGTATCAAGCACAGGAATTGTTGGACGGGAAAAAGAATGGGATTATTTTAGAACCCTAAAGAATAAAGAATCAAACTAATGGGTAAATCAGTACCTTTAATGGTGATGGAGCTTTGGCCTGTAGTTTGAAAGGGGAAAGGTTGAAGGTCAAGAGAGAAGTGAAAGATTAAAAAATACAATTCTCCGGTGCGCTGACCCAATTTCAATGTAAGTTTGACACAGCTTCCCGTCAGTTTCCCTCTTATTTTTAAGTTAAGAAATAATGATTAATTTATGAAGAAATTATTTAGGGATGGGAGTGGGATTCCTTCCCAGGGCGGGGGGTTATTTTTTTGTAAATCCTCTGTCTTCCTCTGCCCTACAATGTGAGCAGCTACTCTTAATATTCCTCTTCTTCACTTGGTCACTTCCAACTCTGAATAATGTATAGGGGACAGCGCTAATTCCTGACTCCTAGAAAGCCATCTGGTCAACACGAAGGGAAGCGGGACTGGAAAGGAGGGCTGGGAGCTGCTGCGCTGTGGCTTGTCCCGCGCTCTCCCGCGGAGCCAGGAGCCAGGAATGGAAAAGCTCCGACCCTCGGCAGGGTGGTATCTGTGTGGACACCAGTTCTAAGCTGGAGTGTGAGAATTCACAACTGAAATGTGCTTTCCTCCCTCTTCCTATACACTTCGTTTAATAAATATGGTTGTACTTTTCCTGTGACAAAATAAATGTCTGTAACTGCTGTACGCTGCTGTAAACTCCTTAGAGAACAAAACCACCCTGCATGTGGGCTCCTCAGTTACTGAGTTCTTGTAATCCTGTCTCAGGCCTTGGGGGCATTGGTGGGGGGGGGGGGATTAACTGCAGAAACAGAAACTGTTTCAAAATCTTTATCTTTTCCCTATAACTTTCTTCTTCAGGTGGTCTACCTGTGACCTGTGCTGGCTTGCCAAGGTTGTGTCTTTGTAGCCAAGAGACCAGAGATGAGTGTAGAGAGGTGTACTTCGTGGTTCCTAGGAAGGTGGTGACTGTAGCGAGGCTAGTGTATGGGCTTGGAGGGGGCATCTGAGGCCTCTTTGCATTTTCAGAGCTAAAATGTGCTAGCATTTCTGCTGTGGCCCAGGCAGCTGCTGCTTTTAAGGGTTTTCTGAGAAGTTGAAGGTCAGGGTGACCAGACGGGCTGGTTGGATGGGCTTTGTGCAGGTGAAAAGGAAGCAGAACTACTCTGATGATATCATACAGAGAAACTTTGACTCCGTTTGTGACATGTGTCTTCCTCCCCTTCAACCAGAAAATTCTGTAGCATGAAAGAAAAGTCATCTGTGAGTTCCTCCAGGTTGCTGTAACCAGTAGTTCCGAGGACCCAGAGGGAGTCCCCAGGCAGTTCTGGGAGATCTTGGAAGGAAATTCTCTTCCCACCTGTTTTTGGCAAATTGGAGATTTTATTGGTTAAGAGGTTCTCTGGCCTTATTTTGTGATATTTTTTTTAGTTCTGTTTCCTTTTCAAATGTTTACTGGTCTTCTATCAGTAGGAAATACCTTCTCCTTCCTCAGCCTGGCCAGGAAGTTCGTGTACTTCTCATCTATCTGGGCATTCCCCTCTCGAGGAGCCTCCACACCTAGCTCTCTTGTTTTGTTGCTGCTGGGTTTAGATACTTGGGACAGATCATTGTGCCACGCAGGAAATTTGTTTTGTTCTTTTTTAAAAGAAAAATCTATAGATGATCAATTACTAATGAAACTGTGTGAGTATATGTGTGCAACATAAAATACAGTAGCCCCAAGGTTCCTGGAAAACTGCAAATTGATGTGGTATTCATTAAAAACAAAATGAAAACACAATGCCTGTGGCGTCATTCTCCTAACTTTATTTTTTATACACAGTTTGGGTAGATGAAACCAAACAAGGCTTCCAATCCCCTGCCCCCACTCCACTTTGGCAGCTTTAAAGAGCAACTGCGAAGATTCCCAAAACGGCAGGATATCTATCCGTAGTACAACAAAGCTGTGCATTTGGTTTCTGAAGAAAAGTAGAGCCCTTCTAAGAGGTGATCTTAGGAGAAAGAAGATGGTGAGTGGACAGGGCTTTGTCATCCCAGCTCAGCTTCACACCAACCTAGGTGGGCTCCTCGCCTACAGTCACACAGCCTCTGTACACTGAGACAGAGTCAGCCATCATGAAGAATGGTAACTAAATGGATCAGGTCTTTGCTGAAAGCACTTGTCATCTCCAGTCTGCTCTTCCCTGTGACCCAGGCTGCTCTGACCCTTCAACAGCATCCCTCTTAGAAAACTCAGGCTGAAATTTTTAAAATGACTGATGCAAACAACTTCACAAATACGATTACAAATGTTCAAATAATGTCACTAAGTAACATGGTCTATAAATATATATTCAGAATAACACGTACGTATTGGCCAGAATAGCAAGCATCCCATCAAACACAGTCTTCTTGAAACCACCTGCTCTGCAGGCCGTTAGGAGGCACACCTGAAGATGGGGATCACCTAGCCCCACCTCTGAGCTCACGGCTGGGTCAGAGTAGAAGTCACTCTGGTGGCCCTGAGTCCATCAGTGGTGTTCGGACCAACTGCTGGGCTTAACAGGGTTTGGGGTTGAGAGGTGGGGCCCAAGATTGGTATTCTAACAAGTGATGCTGGTGGTCTGAGAACCACTGGGGGGCTGTATTGCCGCCCCCCACCACCAAACACCCACTGGCCTCTGGAGGAAAAATAGCATTCTGACAGTTCCTGCCCTGCCTTACCTGAACTTCAGCAGTGGGCTTGGCCGATTCGAATAGTCTGCCCCAATTTGCCTACTATTTCTGACCTGGCAGAGTAGCAAGAGTAGTCGAATACTCACTCGGGAACTGAAAACAACATGCATGAAGGAGGAAAGTAAAAGAATGGCAGTGCCCAGCCTGGTGCCACCCATAAACCCTGTTCACAGGCTTTTAATTAATACTGTCTAAAAACCCTGGAGGGCCAAACACTGTCAACGGCAGCCCATTCAGTATCTTCAAGAACCCAATTACCAGGGCCCTTGCCCTACTGTGGAGGACAAGAGCAGGCAACTGGCAGCCCCACCTATGGAATTCGGATGGAGGCCTGTGGTGGTGCCAGGAACCCCCTTCAGAGCTCTGCAAACTCATTCCAGAAACTGGGCAGCTGCTGGCCATTCCCAGGTAGTGACTGCAGTGCCCAGCTCAAGGTCTCCTTCAGCCTAACGGTAAGAAACTTTCACTGTAATGGAAAGAACTCTGAACGGGGAGTTGATGTTTTATTTTGATTCTTCACGGCTGCATGTGCCCTATCTGAGTGGGTACGGTACTGATTGTCTGGGTCCTTTGGAACTCTGACAATCTTGAGCTAATACAAAAATGATAGAAAAGCCACGGTATAAAATTCAATTCCTAATCGGGGCCAGACAAGGAGTGGGCCTGAGGTTCTACCTTGGGCGATACAGATGGGGGTTTCCTCTCTGCCCCCTCTACTTTCCCTCCAGCAGAGGTGATCCCAGCTCCCAGACACCAGGGTCTCATCCTCCAAAGGCAGCCCTCTTGTCCCACCAACAGGCCACCCCCTGCCCCACACACACCTGACTTCAAGGAGACCTGTTCTGCAGCGGCTTGGCCCGGGACTAGCTAGGAGTGCCGAGAGCCTGAAGAGTCAGGAGTACAATTTGGGGCTTACCCCTGCCCTTGCTCCTTCCTCTTGCCACCTCACAGCTTATCTCTGATACACTCGTAATAAATAAGACATTTGCACATAAGGGTGAGTCGGGCTGCTCGCTCCCCACCCTCTACCCCTTTTATATAAAAGCATTAAATACAGTTTCAAAATAAAATACAAAGAGCAAAACGGGCCTGGTATGGGGCCACCGGTTCTCCACAGGAGAACGAAACTACACATCCCTCTCGGACCTGCCAGGGAGATCGCTGGGGCCCTTCCCGCGTTCCCAAAGGGTGGGCGTCGTCGCGGGAGAGAGAGGAAAGCAGAGTCCGGTCCCAAGCCCTGGGGGCTGAGACCGCGTGGCGCGTCCACAGTGGACTGAGAGGGGGCGGGACTGTCCGTCCGGGGCTCAAACCGAAATTACCGCCCGATTCTGACTTGGGCGTCAAGGAGCCCCTCGCAGCGGAAGAGGGGCGAAGGGTGTGGCGGGGGACCCGGATGCATCGTGCTCGTCTCAGAGCACACCCGGGAGGCTGGTACCGGGGTCCGGACACGCCCGCCCGCCTCCGCTCAGGGCCCTGTGGTCCCGGCAGATAGCGACCAAGGCAGAATACAGACTAGTGCGACCTTCAGTCCCACCCCATGCCATCCCCCTCGGCCCTAATACTGACAATCAATCGGCGGCCCGCCCCCGGGGAACAAACACTTAGCAGGCCGCTTTAGCTTCTCAGAAACGTGGGGACCCTGCGGGCCGGAGGGACCTACAAGCTCAGGGTCCTCGGCCCCACAGTGCGCCCCGGGCGCCTGCGCTCTCCGCCCAGCCCGGCCAGCGAGGGGCAGCAGTGGCGACGTCCGGGGTCTCCCAGCCCCAGCGCTGAGAGTCCGCTACGCCCGGCACACAGCGCCCGGCTTGAGGTCGGCACCACTGTCGCGCGGCGCGGGGGCCGGTGGCCCGAAGCCCTCGTGGCCATAGCAGCGTAGCGCCGCCTCCTCGTAGGCCTCGAGGATGGTCTGACGCTCCTCGGGCGTGAAGTCCATGGAGAAGGGGTGCACCTGCAGAATGTGCCGCTTGATGGTGCTCACCTTGAGCGTGGCCAGCGCGCCGCCGCACACCATGCACACCAGGCCGCGCCGGCTGCCGTCATAGTCCATCAGGTACTCGCCCCGCCAGCGCGGCTGGTAGTTCCGCCGCTGCTCTCGGCTGCGGGGGGGCGGCGGCGGGGGCGGAGGTGGGGGCGGCGGCGGCGGGGGCAGGGGCGGGAAAGCGAGCCCCTCGGGCTCCACACCGTCCTCTTCATCCTCCTCGTCCTCGGCCGGCTGCTCCGACGGCTCCCGTGGGGAGAGTGGGAGGTCGCCTGGGGAGGGACAAAGGGCCGCCTTGGAGCCAGTGGGGGGACGCAGGCCGGTCCCTAGATCGCCCTAACTCCCCGTTGTGTCCTCCAGTCCAACACGTCACCCTTCCGCTCTCACCGGCTTCTGCAAACCTCACCGTGCCTGTCTGCCTAACGGTCCCCCCTCCCCGGCTCACCCACCTCTCCTCCTCCTGGGCTCACCCCACCACTCCTCTTCCTCCTCCTCCGCCCCTCCCCGCTCGGAGGCTGAGGCTGTGCTGGGGACGGCCGGGCCCCGGGGGGACTCGGGGCTGGACAGCCCCAGGGTCAGCAGGTGGGCGGCCTTCTCGCTCCACTCCTGCGCGATGAGGGCTTTGACCGGCCCGCTGAGGCGCGTGGAGCCCGGGTGGCGCTGGCGGATGTGCCGCTTGATGGTGCTCATCTTGAGCGAGGCCAGCGCACCGCCGCACACCATGCACACCAAGCCGCGCCGGCCGCCGTCGAACTCCATAAGGTACTCCAGCCGCCAGCGCTCCTGGTAGTGGCGGCGGTGGTCGCGGCCCCGCGTTGGCCGGCCCGGGACCCCCGCCCTCTTGCCCTTGCTCTTGCCCTCGCCCTCCTCCAGCTCCTCCTCCTCCACTGCGGGCCCCGGGCTCTCAGGGACCCAGCCAGCCTCTTCCTTTACGTCTGGGGGGCTGAGATCCTGAGAGGAAGGGCCTCTGGCAGTAGGGGCCGAGTCCTGGCTCTTTCTGGTCAGGTCCTGGGGGATGAGGTTGTCGTCTGTTGGGGAAGGGGTGGGGAGAGGAGCTCAGCCTGCAGGCTGGGGTGCCCTTACCCATGCAGAGGGGGTCCCTGGCTCCTCACCCAAGTCCCAAACTAGAGGTCCCAACCAGTATGTGTGTGTGTGTGTGTGTGTGTGTGTGTGTGTAAGCAGGGTAACTTCTCGGCCTTCAGCCAGGAGTATCTGGCCACAGACCCCACACTGCATCCCTGATAGGAGGGGGCCTCAGCTCTGGGATGGGCCTCACACCTGGTGGGGGCTGGGCGAACTCTGGCAGCACCTCGGGCTGAGCGTCCCAGGCCTGCAGCAGGGCGCTGCGCTGGGGGCCGCTAAGCCCCAGGGAGCTGGGGTGCACCTCCAGCACGTGGGCACGGATGTCATCCAGGTGCAGACTGGGCAGTGCCCGGCCACAGGCCATGCACACAAGCCGGTTCCCCCGCGGGTCATAGTCCATGAGACACTCAGCCCGGAACCAGCTCTGCAGGGACTCCTTCAGCCTTCGCTCCAGGCGCCGGGCCCCCAGCCCCCTGCTGCCCCCGGCCCTCCGGGATGCCCGACGCCGAGCCCGGGGTGCCACTGGGCCCCCTCGCCGCTGGCGCCGGCCACCCCCACCAGCTGGGGCTTTGCCTAAAAGGTTGGAGGGAGGGAGGGAAGGACTGAGATGCTGCCCTTTTGGGCCCCCCACCACAGCCAGGTCCTCCGCAAGCCTCTCTCTCACTTGGCTGATTCTGTCCCGCCCCCAGCATCTGCCCTCTTCTCCCTCTTCCCTCAGGTCCTGAACCGCCACTCTGTCTCCTTAATCCTTCTACACACAAACCTCAAACCCTACCTCAGCCCTCCCCAGCCCCAGCCTCATCCCTTCCCTGGACTTGACTGTCTCCCACCTCCTGACCCCAGCCAAACCTTCCCCTGCCAATTGACCCCAACCTCTCCTCTCCTGGGTCCTTCTTTTAAAACCACAGAATGTCAACGCAGTCAGGCACCTTAGAGACCTCCCGACCAACAGTCCCTCCCCCAACATTACAGACTGAGTGCTAAGAGCCAGCCTCATTCACAAAATCCGCTAGCTGGCCCGGATATGATCACGTTCCACCTGGCCCCATGGACTACCCAGAACCCCCACCTCTCCATGCCTTTCATTACCTGGACCTTTGGGCTGGCCAGCTGAGAGATTGGCCCCGTCTTCCTCCTCTTCCTCGTCTTCCTCTTCCTCCTCCTCAGCCCCCTGGGCCCCCAGGCCCTCGGCCTCTCCACAGGCCCCCAGCCCCAGGTGGGCATCCCAGCTGTTGCTGATGACCTCCTTCTCTCGAGGACTCCAATGCAGGGAGTAAGGGTGCTTCTGGCGGATGTGTCGCTTGATGGTGCTGAGCTTGAGAGTGGCCAGGGAGCTACCGCACACCATACACACCATGCCATGCCGAGCAGGGTTGAAGTCCATGAGGTACTCCAGCCGCCAGTGGTCGTGGTAGTAGCGCCGGTGGTCACGGCCCGGGATGCGGCTCTTTCCAGGCCGAGAGGCCCGCGCCTCACAATGGTCTGAGTATTTCCTGCCTGCTGATGCTGCTGGTCCCCTGGCCCTGGAGGACAGAGGGGCACTTCCCCATGACCCCAAGGCACCCCCTTCCAGCTGTAGATCTTGCCCTGAAGAGGGGGAAAGGGAAAAAATTTTTCAATCTCTAAATTCCAGGGAAAGAAGCCGAGGCTGTGATGGCGGGAGAGTGGACTGGGGATGCCCGAGGGCAGGAGAGAGATGGAGGCAGCAATCAGGGGGAGGGGGGAGCAGGGCGGCACAACATTGGCCCTTTACAAAGAGCTCGGCCCCTTTAAGAGAATCAAGAACAAAAGGATGCAGGGAACTGTGAGAGGCTGGCTGGGCCGCTTTTAAAAATAAGGTGAGGGCCAAGGAGGCAGCAGGCTCTGGAAGGGGCCCTTTCTGGAAGAGAGCTCTAAGGGTGAAGCCAGGAGAGCAGCATGCTGAGCGGTTACAGCCAGAGCAGGGGGCGGGGGGGGCAAGAGGAACAAAGGGGGCATCTGTCTGCATCCAGGGCTGCAACTCAGGACCCACCCGCCTGGGGCCCCAGCCAGGAGGGCCCCACCCAAAATCTTCTCCCTTTTTCCAATAATGCTTCAAATTCAGGCTCCTGAGAATCCCACTTTGAGGGCTGGGTGTTGGACATTGTCAATTCCCCAAATGTAGGCAAGTATGGGAGGGTCCCCAGGGCAGAGCTATCAACACTTCCAGGGAGACCCTGTATCCTCTGGAGGCTGGGAGAGCCAGTGACCCTGGGAAGGGGTGGCAGGACTGCCACCAGAGTGGCTGCTGCTGAAAACACTGCGGCAGGGAGTGGCCACCACCCCGCTGGAGCCCATTAAGTCTTTCTGGGGATTTATTTTTTGCTCTTGGCAGGGAGCTGGCCACCGCCCAGCAATCAGAAGAGCCTGTGCGGAAAGGCTGAGCAAAGCCCACTAACCCAGCCTTACTTCCCTTTGCCAGTCTGTCCACCAGAAACCCCCAGCCACCCCTCACCAACCCACCTAAGGTTAGGGCCCTATTTTGTATTTTTAAATGGTGGCCTGGTCACACAGACTGAAAGGGCAGGTTCAGGACATTCTCCCAGTAGAACATACTAGGGTCAGGGAGACAAAAGACAAGATCAGAGAGGGCCCCTATCACTTATTTATTCTTTTTCTTTTCTTTTAAAAAGGAATTCATAAAAAATAACACTGGCTTCAGAGTAAGAGACCTGGGTTCGAGTCCTGACTTTACTGGTAACTTGCTCTGTGACCCCTGGAAGGTCACCTATGCTCTGGGGCCTAAGCGTCTTTGTCTGCAAAGGTATTGGAGCTAGAGGGTCTCTAAGCATCCTTCCAGCACAAGATCCGCACTAGTCTAAGGTGGACTGGCCCTTTAAGGGCCAAATAAAGGGGAGGAGCTGAGATTCTTTAAAAACAAAAGGGGACGGGGAGTTTCTCTGCCCCGGGAGGGCAGGGTAGCCAGATTCAGCAGATTCTCTCCGGCCTGGACAGAACCATCCCGGGTCTGAAAGCGTTGACTCAGGCAGCAGCGAAGTCAGGGAACAGTGAATGCGGTGGACTGGCTGCTTCCACTATAGCTGACACATTGGGCAAAATGTTTCCGAAAGGAGGAGATAACGGCAGAAGGGGCTTTTCTACAGTCTCTGCCTGTTTAAACACTGCACACAGTGGGGAAAGGGGACGGCGCCCCAACCCCCAGGCTGCTCAAGCTATGATTTTTCCATGAGAGAACATGGGAGAAAGAAAAAAAGACCACAGGACCAAGGTGCAGCAGCCGGATTTAAAACAGCAGAGTTGTGAGCTCAGCTCCCCTGGGGGCGGGGGAGACCCCAAAGAGACCCAAGTCTGGGCTGACTTAAGAGACAGCGGGCTAAGAGACCACCTGGGAGTCTAAAAGAGAAAGGGGCGGGGGGCCGCCTGTCCAGCAGCCTAGAGAGAGCGCCCCTCTGCGCCTGGCCCAACCTTCTAGGGCCCCTCCGGTCTGGCCCCCCAAGGCGGAGCACCGCGGGGGCCCATCAAAGGGGAGGGGATCCGCCCGAGCCCCGAGGCCGCCCCAAGCACTAGGCGAGGGGCTCCCCGCTGGCCTTGCAGCCTCGATCCGCGCCCGCCAGGTGGCGCCCCCGGCCGCTCTGCCCGAGTCCCCCCCTTTGTTCGGCGGCGGAGAGGGGCCCGGAGCCCGGAGCCGTAGCCCTCCCCTCCCCCACGCCGGGGCCCCCGCCCGGGCCGCCGGCCCCAGTGCTTACCGCCGTCGTCGTCCTCGGGCTCCGTGCCACCGCCTGATCCGGCAGGCGGCAGCCGTCGGCCCCGTGTCGAGGCCGCTGCTGGCCCGTGGCCGCCCCTGCCGCCGCCG